ATAGTAGTAGCAGACAGTAGTAGTAGACAGGGGTAGTAGTAGACAGTAGTATCAGAAAGTATGACTCACAAAATCATAATGACACGATTGCAAACAAACCATACCACGGGCGGGGATAGAACCCGTGATTAGAGAGTCTCAAAACTCCAGACCGTCATGTTAGCCACTGGACCAGCTAGCCACAATAAGATTCGTCCAACTAGGTATATTTCTACACCATAGGAAGGTTAGCATAGGCACCACTGTGGCCACAAATGCAAGTTTTCACAGACGAATCTCCAGCTAGCGCGGCCGTGACGAACTCTAGCTCAAGTCCCCTCAAAGCCTTCAACATGACTCACGAAATCATAATGACACGATTGCAAACAAACCATACTAACTTTCCTATGGTGTAGAAATATACCTAGTTGGATGAATCTTATTGTGGCTAGCTGGCCCAGTGGCTGATGCGATGGTCTGACTCTGTGATGTAGTTCAGCTGGGCTTGTGAGGTCTCTAGGGAGACCTAATTATATGGTCACCTTGCTTTGGCAAGTGGCTAAGCAGCCACGCCTTTTCGGCTTAAGTCTTAGCTCTCTTGTTTGTCACTGGCGTCAGATCTCAGCGTCAGGTCATACACGTGGTGCACACCTCATTGTGGAGGGTGCTTGGACCACCATATAAGCCCAAGGAAGAGCATGATCGGGAGGAGCTCTGGGTTGGGTGCAGAGCTCTGAGCAGAGAGACTTCGAGTGGAGCTGCTGCTGGGGTGCAGGGCTCGGGAGAAGGCTGCTGAAGTCTCTGGAGGAGACTGTTGGAGACATTGGGCAGAGTACTGGCTTGGAGCAGTACTCGTGCTGTGTAGGTCTTGGGACCTGTGGCTTAGTTCCTGTGGTGAACTGTCCTCTGAACCATATTGTACGTTACCTTCATTTTCGTCAAGTTGATTGTGTTCCCTGTCTCACTGCTTATAAAAGCCTTATATGTACCATCCCATTTATCTAAACCACAATAATGTTCTCCTGTTCCCAAATATATTATTGTACAAGGACTTAATAATAAACTGCTTTTGAGTAGAATAGTAATATTCACTGTCCCCATTATTTACTCATTTATTTCAAGTAGTGAGAGGGTGAGTAGAGTAATGAGAGGTGAAGGTGTAGTCACCAGTGACCTCACATTACCTACCGACCTCTGCACTCATCTCTCCTACCACCTTGCCTACCTGTCCCCTGCCTACTGACTCCCTCCGTTTACTCACATATTCCCCAATTATCCCCCCCTTTACGTTACATTACCCCCCCTACATCAAAACTCTCTGATCGCGGGTTCTATCCCCGCCCATGGTATGGTTTATCAGAAAGTAGTAAGTAGTAGACAGGGTAGTAAACATTAGTAGACAGGGGTAAACAGTAGTAATAGACATGGGTAGTAGACAGTAGTAACAGACAGGGGCAGTAGACAGTAGTAGTATACAGTAGTAGTAGACAGGGGTAGTGACACAAGAGTCTTTCTTCAACTTGTCAGTTTTCTCAGCTATTACATCACAGTGGCAACAGTAGTAGTAATAGCAGCAGAAGTGTAGGTCGTGCAGAAAGTCTGACATAACAAAAGGAGCACTGCAGGAGAGCTAATGGCCCACGAGGGTAGGACCAAAAACACAGGTGGGAAAAAACTCGTGGACAGAACTCACCTTGGCAGAAAAAAAGGAGAAGCAAAGAAAAATGGGAAAGGGAAGGAGAAGATAAAGATTAAGTCTAGTCACGAGTGTTCTGCAGAGTGAAGCATTTGACAATGGAATGAGAAAGGAAAGCATCTACAGAGACAAAGTCACGCCTAAGATTCATATTAGAAAAGTTGTATATAAAGAATGCTTTAACAAGACTCATGAAATCGTAATGACACGATTGCAAACCATACCACGGGTGGAGTTAGAACCCGCGGTCAGAGTCTCAAAACTCTCAGTCCGTCGCGTTAGACACTCGGTCAGCTAGCTTCAATAAGATTTATCCAACTAGGTATATTTCTACACCACAGGAAGGTTAGCATAGGCACCACTGTGACCATAAATGCAAGGTTTTACAGACGAATCTCCCGCTAGCATGGCCGTGACGAACTCTAGCTCAAGTCCCCTCAAAGCCGTCAACACAATGCTTCAACAAGGTGGCGTCTGTGAAGGCTAGAAGGGTAGACAGTTTTGGCAGAGGACCAGTCAGTAGGATGACTTTGTGAAACTGTTGGTAGAATTACTGACAATCTGTTAGGTAAAAAGGACACAAGTGCAACTAATTGACATTTTATTGTGGCAACATTTCGCTCTCCAGGAGCTTTGTCATAACGGCTTGACAAAGCTCTTGTTCTGTTGTCATGTAAACAGAGGTAGTGTCCTTTTGTCAGGTAAACAGAGGTAGTGTCCTGTTGTCAGGTAAACAGAGGTAGTGTCCTGTTGTCAGGTAAACAGAAGTAGTGTCCTGTTGTCAGGTAAACAGAGGTAGTGTCCTGTTGTCAGGTAAACAGAGGTAGGGTTCTGTTGTCAAGTAAACAGAGGTAGTGTCCTGTTGTCAATTAAACAGGGGTAGTGTCCTGTTGTCAGGTAAACAGAGGTAGGGTTCTGTTGTCAAGTAAACAGAGGCAGTGTCCTGTTGTCAGGTAAACAGAGGTAGTGTCCTGTTGTCAGGTAAACAGAGGTAGTGTCCTGTTGTCAGGTAAACAGATGTAGTGTCCTGTTGTCAGGTAAACAGAGGTAGTGTCCTGTTGCCAGGCAAACAGAGGTAGTGTCCTGTTGTCAGGTAAAGAGGTAGTGTCCTGTTGTCAGGTAAAAAAAGGTAGTGTTCTGTTGTCAGGTAAACAGAGGTAGTGTCCTGTTGTCATGTATAAACAGAAGTAGTGTCCTGTTGTCAGGTAAAAAGAGGTAGTGTTCTGTTGTCAGGTAAACAGAAGTAGTGTCCTGTTGTCAGGTAAACAGAGGTAGTGTCCTGTTGTCAGGTAAACAGAGGCAGTGTCCTGTTGTCAAGTAAACAGAGGTAGTGTCCTGTTGTCAGGTAAACAGAGGTAGTGTCCTGTTGTCAGATAAACAGTGGTAGTGTCCTGTTGTCAGGTAAACAGTGGTAGTGTCCTGTTGTCAGGTAAACAGTGATAATGTCCTGTTGTCAGGTAAACAGAGGTAGTGTCCTGTTGTCAGGTAAACAGTGGTAGTGTCCTGTTGTCAGGTAAACAGTGGTAGTGTCCTGTTGTCAGGTAAACAGTGGTAGTGTCCTGTTGTCAGGTAAACAGTGGTAGTGTCCTGTTGTCAGGTAAACAGTGGTAGTGTCCTGTTGTCAGGTAAACAGTGGAAGTGTCCTGTTGTCAGGTAAACGTGGTAGTGTCCTGTTGTCAGGTAAACAGTGGTAGTGTCCTGTTGTCAGGTAAACAGTGGTAGTGTCCTGTTGTCAGGTAAACAGTGGTAATGTCCTGTTGTCAGGTAAACAGTGGTAGTGTCCTGTTGTCAGGTAAACAGTGGTAGTGTCCTGTTGTCAGGTAAACAGAGGTAGTGTCCTGTTGCCAGGTAAACAGTGGTAGTGTCCTGTTGTCAGGTAAACAGTGGTAGTGTCCTGTTGTCAGGTAAACAGTGGTAGTGTCCTGTTGTCAGGTAAACAGTGGTAGTGTCCTGTTGTCAGGTAAACAGTGGTAGTGTCCTGTTGTCAGGTAAACAGTGGTAGTGTCCTGTTGTCAGGTAAACAGTGGTAGTGTCCTGTTGTCAGGTAAACAGAGGTAGTGTCCTGTTGCCAGGTAAACAGTGGTAGTGTCCTGTTGTCAGGTAAACAGTAAACAGTGGTAGTGTCCTGTTGTCAGGTAAACAGTGGTAATGTCCTGTTGTCAGGTAAACAGTGGTAGTGTCCTGTTGTCAGGTAAACAGTGGTAGTGTCCTGTTGTCAGGTAAACAGAGGTAGTGTCCTGCCGTCCTAGTACCTAGCAGTTTGCTGTGCTTGTGCTGGGCTAACACCAAATGAGGACCAGACTCACCATCACTGGCATAACATGACTCACCATCACTGGCATCATACCATGACTCACCATCACTGGCATCATAACATGACTCACCATCACTGGCATCATAACATGACTCACCATCACTGGCATCATAACATGACTCACCATCACTGGCATCATAACATGACTCACCATCACTGGCATCATAACATGACTCACCATCACTCTAGCATAACATGACTCACCATCACTCTGGCATCATAACATGACTCACCATCACTGTCATCATAACATGACTCACCATCACTGTCATCATAACATGACTCACCATCACTCTGGCATCACAATGTCTCTATGACTTATGTGATGTTAAGCTTGCATCTACGTTTTCAAGTTCCTTCATATGTTCTTGTTCTTTCTTTCTTCTGGAGAACTTTGTATGTTGTGATCATGTGCTGTGGAATGAAGGTTGGTAGGTCACTTCGTGGCCCCCCACCAGTGTACATGACCACGTGTTTGATGAGTGTTGTTGCACGTGGTGTCGATGCACCAGTACCCGCCTCGTTGTGTTTGCAGGGATCAAGTCATAGCTCCTGGGCCCACCAGCGTACATGAGTGTGTCTGGAGGGTTGGTGCACACTGCAAGCGTGTCTGCAGGATGGGCTATAGTGTTATCAGTCACAGAACCAGTCACCTTTATCACTAGTCTGAGGTTATTGCTCCTTCTCCACTATCACCACAAGTATTTCATTCTGATCCGGCAGCTCACATCTTTCAAGCAGCTGTGCACATCCTTGTAAAATTTGTATACAGACAATTCATGTTACAATCATGCAGTAATTGCATGATTACCTAAAATTACCTATTTGTAGCTATAAAAGTAGATCTATGCTCGTGTTGTCCCGTGTATTTGTATGTGTTTATCGATTTCTTTTTGCGGGAGTCGATACCTAGTCCCTGGTCCAGCGTCCTAGATCACCTTAATCGGCATCACTGATTTCTTGCCTCTTCGGCCTTATAATATCATACTCTTGAAGCTGTGTATTGAGCTTACCTCCATCACTGCATTATCCAAGACATAACAAGTTTTCAACTACCCTTAGACTATAAAGAAATACTTCCTTTACATCACTCTGGATCACCTGTGTTTTCAGCTTCTCCCTGTGTTCCCTTGATCCTGGTCCTCTTAATTCAAACATATTTACCCCCAGCTGCTCGCTTGAGATTTTGTGGGTAGTTGTCATCGTCCTCCTAGTCCTCTTCTCCAAGGTCGTCACGTTGAGTTCTCAGGGAGACAAGTGTCCAGAGAAGCAGTGGAGACTGAAATATACACCACAAGGCCCAGTAAACAGGTCTTTCTCCCTGGTTGTATACAACCTGCAATGTGTTTCCGTTATCCAGATGTGTTCAGATGCAAACAGTAAGTTGTTTGCACCCTTTACCTCAACTATAACTTTATATTACCTCTTATATAAACAACACGTTTATATTAACTGCATCTATAATATCAAAACTGTAAACACATTTCCCCCCTTGAAATAAGACGTGTGTTTTTGCAGGTGTTTGTGATGTTTATTTCGATACAAGTGAATGTCACCCCAGCCTGCCAAACACCTGTATGCATAGTACACGTGTTTTGTAACTTACGCTGTACTTTGAGATACAAATGTGCTGTACTGTTGTTACTGTTATCATTACTATTAGATTTATGGGAAAACTCTAAACACCGCAGAAGTTGTGCAATGCCTGAGGAACGGGAAGCAATTAGATTCGATCCAAAAAGAAAAGAGCAGCTCTAATTCCTTGGACTTAAAGCCCTCAACCTGCATCAAGGCACACTCCCTGAAGTGAATGATGATGATGATGATGATGATGATGATGATGATGATAATAATAATAATAATAATAATAATAATAATAATAATAATAATAATAATAATAATAATAACAATAACAGTAACTCAAATATTAATAAGGTTTACAGCCTATCTAGTTCACTAGGGTCATAAAGGCTGCACGTAACCTTTTTACCACCAGAATCCTTTAATCCCTAAAACAGTGATTAAAGTAACTCTCAGTATATATCCACTCTGTTAGCTTTAATTCTTGTAAACGTCAGACATTAAATTTTGTCAGGACAAGACTCACCGCCAAGCAGAAAACTCTACTGCAGCTGATACTCGCTAGCCTTATTCACTCTAGAACAGGTCTATGTATTTCTCGGTAGTATTACTAACACTAGAACCAGTATTTGCTTTAAGTCATATTCACTCTATAACCAGGTAATATATTTCTCGGTAGTATTGCTAACTCTAGAACAGATCAAAGTATTTCCCGCTAGTCATATTCACTCTAGAACCAGGTCAGTGTATTTCTCGGTAGTATTACTCACACGTAATTATTATAATCAAGGGGGAAGCGCTAAACCCGTAAGATTCTACAGCACCTGTGGGGGGATGTGGAAGGTATTCCGGCTTAATTCAGGGAACTGGAGCACGGATTCCATTCCCCAGATCAAGAGCCCCTCACCAGCATCAAGGAACCTCCCTTGAAGGACTCACACGTAAGCAAACATTAGGACACATTTACTAGAAGAAAAAAAATTCGATCCTGGGATGTCGGTCAAGGAGGTTACCTGGATACCTGGAGGTTACCTAGAGGTTATTCCGGGGATCAACGCCCCCGCGGCCCGGTCCATGACCAGGCCTCCCGATGGATCAGGGCCTGATCAACTAGGCTGTTACTGCTGGCCGCACGCAGTCCGACGTACGAGCCACAGCCTGGCTGATCCGGCACTGGCTTTAGGTATCTGTCCAGCTCTCTCTTGAAGGCAGCCAGGGGTTTATTGGCAATTCCCCTAATGCTTGATGGGAGGCTGTTGAACAGTTTTGGGCCCCGGACACTTATGGTGTTTTCTCTTAGTGTACCAATGGCGCCCCTACTTTTTATTGGCGGCATTTTGCATCGCCTGCCCAGTCTTTTACTTTCGTAGGGAGTGATTTCTGTGTGCAGATTTGGGACCATTCCTTCCAAGATTTTCCAAGTGTAGATTATGATACATCTCTCCCTCCCGAAACCTTTTCTAATAAGTCTTAGTGTTTGTTTACCTGTCTTTCTAAACTAACTTGCCAGTGTCTATTACCAAGGTTTATACCAGTATTACTCACTCTAGAAGCAGGTTCAAGTATTTCTCGGTAGTATTACTATAGAACCGGGTCAAAGTATTTCCTGGTAATATTACTCACTCTAAAAGGCGGTCAAAGTATTTCTCGGCAGTATTATTCACTCTAGAACTAGGCCCAATACTGGCCCCTTGTTGTTCACAATCTACATAAACGACATAAATGAGAAAATAAATGGAGACATAAGGAAGTTTGCCGATGACACCATAATAGGTCGTCGAATTCATTCTGACGACGACATTAGACCACCCCAGGATGATTTGAATAGACTGATCCAGTGGTCGGAGAAGTGGTAGATACAGTTTAATACAGACAAATGCAAAGTTCTAAACACTGGACAGGAAAATAACCATGCTACATATAAACGAAATAATGTAGATCTTAATATTACTAATTGCGAAAAAGATTTGTGAGTTCTGGTTAGCAGTAATCTAAAACCAAGACAACAGTGCAAAAGTGTCCCCAATAAAGCGAACAAAGAATCCTTGGCTTCATATCAAGAAGAATAAGTAATAAGAGGCCTCAGGTTGTTCTTCAACTCTATATCTTTGGTTAGGCCTCATTTAGATTATGCTGCACAGTTTTGGTCACCGTATTACAGAATGGATATAAATCCACTGGAAAATGTACCAAGGAGGATGATAAAGTTGATCCCATGTATCAGAAATCTTCCCTATGAGGATAGACTGAGGGCCTTGAATCTGCACTCTCTTAGAAAGGCGTAGAATTAGGGGAGATATGATTGAGGTGTATAAATGGAAAACAGGAATGAATAAAGGGGATGCAAATAGCATGCTAAAAATATCTAGCCAAGACAGGACTCGCAGTAATGGTTTTAAGTTGGAAAAAAATCAGATTCAGGAAGGATATAGGAAAGTACTAGTTTGGTAATACAGGTGTGGATGAATGGAACAAACTCCCAAGTACCGTTATAGAAGCTAAAACGTTGTGTAGTTTTAAAAGTAGGTTAGATAAATACATGAGTGGGTGTGGGTGAGTGTGAGTTGGACCTGACTAGCTTGTGCTACTAGGTCTGATGCCGTGCCCCTTCCTTAAGTGAATGTGACCTGACCAGATTAGGTTGAGTCATTGGCTTAAGCCGGCAGGAGACTTGTACCTATCTCGCATGGGCCAGTGGAGATGCTGCAGTGTTCCTTCTTTCTTAGGTTCTCATATAGGTTACTGTTTGTGCCTGCGCATCAGGTTACTGTATGCGTTCTGTGTATCAGGCTAATGTGTGCGCCCTGCCGCCAGGCTACTGTGTGCGTCCTGGATCATCTGAGTTACCAATCTGACATGGGATACTTTGAGAGTGAAAGAATCGGTTTTAAGTCAAGAAGATTGGTTTGTAAAAATGGTACAGATGAACCCTCAGTTCCCGTATCAGCAGCTTATTATGTATGTAGAGCTTGTTGTGCTTACCTGAGATACAAAAGCTCCCAGAGGTGACTTATAACTGCTTAAGTTCTTTGGGTGACCTGCAAGGGCTCTACCATCCCCGCTACGCTCCTGCTATATCCGGTCACGTGCGGGATATATCAGTCTGCGGTACACGGGTCCTGCTGTGCTCGGCGATTTCCTGAAAGCAAACTTTACAGTTCGTAAGACTATCAGACTTTTCTCTTTGAAACCAACTGATAACGATCACAAGTAAAATAATGCTAATATAAAGTGTGAAGGCGGAGCTGTAGGCCTGAGGGACATTTATATTCGTGTGGGGGAGCGCTAAACCAGTGGGGTGGTCATGCAGTATATTCCTGGAGGTATGGAAGGCATTCAGGCTTGATTCAAGAACTGGAGCGTTGGTCTAATTCCTTAGATCAAGAGGCCCTCACCAACATCGAGGAACCTGACAGGATTCCTCTGAGTTGGTGAGATGAATGGCTGCAGGACCTGAAGTGTCTCAAATGACACAGTAATTCCTCAGTCATTCAAGTAGACATGAAGAGGATCTTCACGCTCGCACGAAGATTACCCGGGTTACCAGAAGTGTTTCCTGAAAATACAGACCTCGTTGGTGCAGATTTTCTTCGAGATGGACAATCCATTCACAAACTTGAATGATCATCACCCTTTATAAACGGCAAGTTGTGGACGCTTCTGTTGCATTATTTATGTGCAAGCTTGACGCAAATGTAAGAGATCAAAGCAAAATATTATTCGAAAATCACCTGGTCAAGCAAATTTCAACAGTGGAAGATCCAATCAAACAACATCCCTCTTCTACGTACTTAACGAATTAAGTCTACTGACAAAGAACAAGCTATTTTTCTCAAATGTGAAAAAAACTATTTTCAAGGTTCTACATAACCTCCCAAATATGTGGTGCTGACGTGAATTATTTTTCGTCGCGAGAATAATTCATTCCCACTCATTCTTATAAAATGGTGAAGGGAGTTCTACAAGACCAAATATAAAGTTATGCATTACCTTGAAGAGCTGCTTCACACCAACGAAGAAGAGTGAAACTCACACCCAGCCTTCGACCTCATCATTGTTGATGGATCAGCAGCAGCAAATATGGTTCGTCCAGAGGAGTACGACACTCTTCATGATTACGCGAGAAAAATGCAGAATATATTAAACCTATTTTCAGCGAGTCGGACAAGCGTGTAAATGTGGAGTTAGATATAACCTGAATCACTGAGAGGAGGAACTCAGAGCAAATGAGGAACAGGGATTTGTAAAGGAGCCGAATAAAACAAGATTGTGACTCAGCAAACTCAGACCACAACCTAAGTTGAAACATGCAACACTGGTCTTGAACAGAAACAGTAATGAGGGTGTAATAAACAAGTTCAACATCAACAATAAATACATTAATTGTGACTAAATAGATAATAATCTTATTTAAATTTACTGGGAAGATAGTGAGTAACATGCATATAAATTAATCTCCAGAGAATAAGTTCATTGGCACTAGAAGTTCGCTCCTAAGTTATTACGTGAAGACGAAAAGAAGAAAGATGCAGATTAGAGAGATGAACAAAAATCACTGAATTTCTCGAAGTTCTCAAACTTTCTCAGGAGCGAAAAGAAATACTGGCTTGTGACAAGACTAAATGAATCATGCGAAGTCCAAGAGAAACAGAATAGGAAGCTATAAAATTTTAAGAGAAAGTATTTTGTTCTTATATGTAACATCTAGGACAAACTCTACATCCGATATTGAACCCTTGATTAAAGATGGAACTTATAATGATGACAACAAAGAAATGAGTGAAGTACTTAAGTCACATTATGACTGTTCAGCGAGCCATTAATCAGACTAAAAACTGACAACTGATTTTTTATCATGAATGAAGTCATGAAGCTATTAATCAAACTTAAAATTAACAATTCAAATGAATTTTTCATGAACGAGACCCAAGACTACCATCCTCTCCAAATTTTCTGACAGCCTTAATTCCATTCGACTTTGAAAATGCCATTGACAGTGTGACCATACATATTCCCAGGTCCAAATTAGTGGAACTCCATATTCGTCTAAAAATTGTAAAACTCTACAATCACATGCCTTAAATATCCCTACGTAGTAGTAGAAGTAGTAGTCACAATCTTGAATGGCAAGTAAGTTTATTCAGGTATACACAAATACAGTTACCAAGATTATCATACATAGCAGCATATGTGTAAAGTACCTAGGATAACCCAAAAGAGTCTTGTATTAAAGCTTATATGAATGATGGCAACAATTTTATATTAAGCTACCTACTAAAACTATTATAATTACTAAAGCTATTAGTTGATAAAACTAGCTACTGAAGATAGCTACCTAGCCACAATATTATGTAACTTGTCAAACAAAGAAGCAGTATCTCACATTTCCTGACTACAATTTCCAACGATCGAAGTCTGTTCATGCTCACTAACACCTACCTAGCTGGAAGACTGGTGTAAATCAGAGCCTGGATGATGAAATCCTGGGCAGTTAGCTTCACCTCCAACCTGGGTAATGAAAACTTGGCCAACTACCTTCACCTCCAGCCTGGGTAATGAAAGCTTAACCTACTACCTTCACCGTCTGCCTGGGTAATGAAAGCCTAACCAGATACCTTCACTTCCACGCTAGGTAATGAAACCCTAGCCGGATATCTTCACTGTCACCTTAGGTAATGAAAGCCTAGCCAGCTACCTTCATTTTCACCCTAGGTAATGAAAGCCTAGCCAGCTACCTTCATTTTCACCCTAGGTAATGAAAGCCTAGCCAGCTACCTTCATTTTCAACCTAGGTAATGAAAGCCTAGCCAACTACCTTCACCTCCACCCTGGGTAATGAAAGCCTAGCCAACTACCTTCACCTCCACCCTGGGTAATGAAAGCCTAGCCAACTACCTTCACCTCCACCTGGGTAATGAAAGCCTAGCCAACTACCTTCACCTGCAAAATGCCGCCAATAAAAAGTAGGGGCGCCATTGGTACACTAAGAGAAAACACCATAAGTGTCCGGGGCCCAAAACTGTTCAACAGCCTCCCATCAAGCATTAGGGGAATTGCCAATAAACCCCTGGCTGCCTTCAAGAGAGAGCTGGACAGATACCTAAAGTCAGTGCCGGATCAGCCGGGCTGTGGCTCGTACGTCGGACTGCGTGCGGCCAGCAGTAACAGCCTAGTTGATCAGGCCCTGATCCATCGGGAGGCCTGGTCGTGGACCGGGCCGCGGGGGCGTTGATCCCCGGAATAACCTCCAGGTAACCTCCACCCTGGGTAATGAAAGCCTAGCCAACTACCTTCACCTCCACCCTGGGTAATGAAAGCCTAGCCAGATACCTTCACCTTCAGCCTGGATAATGAAAGCCTAGCCAGATACCTTCACCTCCACCCTGGGTAATGAAAGCCTAGCCAGATACCTTCACCTCCACCCTGGGTAATGAAAGCCTAGCCAGCTACATTCACCTCCACCCTGAGTAATGAAAGCCTAGCCAGCTACCTTCACCTTCAGCCTGGGTAATGAAAGCCTAGCCAGATACCTTCACCTCCAACCTGGGTAATGAAAGCCTAGCCAGCTACCTTCACCTTCAGTCTGGGTAATGAAAGCCTAGCCAACTACCTTCAACTCCACCCTGGGTAATGAAAGCCTAGCCAGCTACCTTCACCTTCAGCCTGGGTAATGAAAGCCTAGCCAGATACCTTCACCTCCACCCTGGGTAATGAAAGCCTAGCCAGATACCATCACCTCCACCCTGGGTAATGGAAGCCTAGCCAGCTACATTCACCTCCACCCTGAGTAATGAAAGCCTAGCCAGATACCTTCACCTCCACCCTGGGTAATGAAAGCCTAGCCAGCTACCTTCACCTTCAGCCTGGGTAATGAAAGCCTAGCCAACTACCTTCAACTCCACCCTGGGTAATGAAAGCCTAGCCAGCTACCTTCACCTTCAGCCTGGGTAATGAAAGCCTAGCCAGCTACCTTCACCTCTCCGTATTTCAAACCGTCAAAACCTCGTTACTACAAATTCTCCCTCATTTGACGCATTATCTGCACTCCAGGCATATCAGAGTGCTGGCCAGTATATTCACCTGCTATAAGAGGATGACTGGTAGAAGTAGACGCAGATACGAAGAGAAAATGAGGTAAAAAGTAGAGAGGATGACCGGAGATGTTGGTGGGCCGCCGACCCACGCGGCACTAGTGGACATCTTTGGCGGGAAAACATTTTACTGGTTACTAATCTGTAATTTAATGGTACTGGGAGTTATTACGTCGAGAATAATGTATGTAAGGGTGTATAATTTGACTTGTTTTTTTAGGGCTGCTTGCTTTATCGGTTCCAGGAGAAGGAGTGGAAGTTATTTCCCGCGAGATTTTCGGGAAGTTTCCACCGTGGTGGATGAGTTGAGTCATTTAAATAAAGGTCCACAGTGGTCGCACCGCCATCACTGCCCCACCATAGTTCATGATGCTGCTGATCTTTGCCGTTGTTGCTATTGCTGCTGTTGTTGCTATTGCTACTGTTGTTGCTATTGCTGCCGTTGTTGTTGATATTGCTATTGTTGTTGTTGCTATTGCTGCTGTTGTTGATGCTATTGCTGCTGCTGTTGCTGCTGTTATTGCTGCTGCTATTGCTGCTGTTACTGCTGCTGTTGTTGTCTTTGCTGGTGCTGTTGTTTATGCTACTGCTGTTGTTTCCGCTGCTGCTGTTGTTTCTGCTACTGCTGTTGTTTCTGCTGATATTGTGGTGGTGGTGCTTCTGCTGCTGCTATTGTTGTTTTGATACGCTATTGTTACTGACGTTTCTTGTTGCTGTTACTGGTGTTTCTACTGCTGCTGTGAGGGTGATGCTTCTGCTGCTAACAGTGGTACTGCTGCCGTCGTTGTTACCGCTGCTGCTTCCTTTGCGGCTGTTCCTTTTATCCTCAACAGTTCTCCGTCCCTCCTAGTGTTTCACATTCCTGCCTCTCTTCCCACGACCCGACCAGCCTACCCGCCACCACACAACCTGGAAGCATTCACAGCGCTGGTTATGTCAGTACAGCCTCGTCTCTGAACTCTAGATGAATCTATACATCTTAAACTGAGAGAATTCAGACCGTTGGTTGTGTTAATGATTACATCATTATACATCCCAAACTGAGAATTCATAGCACTGGTTGTCATTCCACAGCCTCGTCTCTGAACACAAGAGGCGACTATACATCTCATTCTCTATTGAGTACTAAATATTTCCTAATTCTGCCTCTAGTAAACTACCTACATTCTGTACATTAAGATCAATACTGTAGTAGTAGAAGATTGTCTTCACATTTTAACTCCTGGTGGTTAATGATACAAAAGGTGCGGTGATAGAAACAGAATATTCAAACAGCCTGGAGAAGAAATTTCAATATTTTCCTCTAAGGCATTTTATTTACTTCTCCGAGGCTGTGGGTCCCCACACCCACAGAAATGTATTTAAATTGGCAATAACAATGAAACACTATTTCTATAAAGTACAATATATAAGAACATAAGAACATAAGAACGAAGGAACACTGCAGAAGGCCTACTGGCCCATGCGAGGCAGGTCCAAGTCTCCTACCGGCTTAAGCCAATGCACCCAACCTAGTCAGGTCAGGTCACATTGACTTAAGGGAGGAACACGGCAACCGACCTGTTAGCACAAGCTATCAGGTCTAACTCACACCCACCCACATCTACTCATGTATTTATCCAACCTATTTTTAAAGCTACACAACGTTCTGGCCTCTATAACGGTACTTGGGAGTTTGTTCCACTCATCCACAACTCTATTACCAAACCAGTACTTTCCTATATCCTTCCTGAATCTGAATTTTTCCAACTTAAAACCATTGCTGCGAGTCCTGTCTAGGCTAGATATTTTCAGCACACTATTTACATCCCCTTTATTTATTCCTGTCTTCCATTTATACACCTCAATCATATCCCCCCTAATTCTACGTCTTTCTAGAGAGTGCAGTTTCAGGGCCCTTAGTCTATCCTCATAGGGAAGGTTTCTGATACATGGGATCATCTTTGTCATCCTCCTTTGTACATTTTCCAGAGAATTTATATCCATTCTGTAATACGGTGACCAAAACTGTGCAGCATAATCTAAATGAGGCCTAACCAAGGATGTATAGAGTTGAAGAACAACCTGAGGACTCCTATTATTTATGCTTCTTGATATGAAGCCAAGGATTCTATTAGCTTTATTGCGAACACTTATGCACTGTTGTCTTGGTTTCAGATTACTGCTAACCAGAACTCCTAAATCTTTTTCGCAATCCGTAATATTAAGATCTACATTATTTAGTTTATATGTGGCATGGTTATTGTCCTGTCCAACATTTAGAACGTTGCATTTGTCTATATTAAACTGCATCTGCCACTTCTCCGACCACTGCGTCAGTCTATTCAAATCTTCCTGGAGTGCTCGAATGTCCTCGTCAGAATGAATTCGACGGCCTATTTTGGTGTCATCGGCAAACTTGCCGATGTCGCTCTTTATGCCCTCATCTATGTCGTTTATGTAGATTGTGAACAGCAGGGGGCCCAACACTGACCCCTGTGGAACACCGCTCGTGACGCTTCCCCACTCTGATTTCTCCCCATTTATGCAAACTCTCTGCTGCCTATTTGTCAACCATGCCTCTATCCAGGAAAAAATTTCTCCTCCTATTCCATAAGATTAATTGACATGTTTAAACTACAGAAATCCCCTTGTTATGCAGAACATTTCGGGCAGCCTTAAAATTAACTTAGAACTTCTGGATAAATATTTTATTTAGTTATTATACTAGGAAGAAACATTCGGTGAATATGGGGCAGTCAGATTCGATTCAAGGAAATGGAGAATAAGTCCATTTCTTTGGATCAAGAACCTCTTTATGGATAGCAAGGAACATCCTTGAAGGGGTTGATAACCCAAGATGCCCCAAGGAAGCGAAAAAATGTGGCTTATTTCCGTTGTTCTCAGGGTCTCTCCACTAAAGCGTCTACCACAGCACTTCTAGTTATTTGTTTATTGCTAGGGAGGTTAGGTAAGTTTCGTCAGGAAACAGGACAAGTGTTTCCTGACGCGGGTCTTAGGTGATGACCCGCCATTGGAGCTTTTGCTAGTGGGAAGACTAGTCTCTATGTCTTAACTTCGACCATTGGGGCTACGAGACGTAATTACATGGTAGAGTCAGCACACTTAAAGTGAATTTCCTGGAGCGTTCTTAGTATATCATGCAAGAAGTTAAAATAATATTGGATAAAGTGGAAGTTGGTGAGCAGCCTCAACCCAGCCTCACAGTACTAGGAAACGTGTGTGTGTAGTGTGTAGTGTATAGTGTGTAGTGTGTAGTGTGTAGTGTGTAGTGTGTACGAGGAAGACCACACAGTTGGGTAGTCATGTCCCAACACATCCGCTCTCCACTAGTAACACTCGTCCAGATTTAAGCGTTTCTCAGTCACGCTCGTCTACCTTGTTGTCAGACATGTTACATTTCATTTACATTATTTCCTTGTGGTTACGTATACCATTTTATAGGACTTGTAGCCTAAAAGTAAAGAAAATATGTCTTGTAGTGTTACAGAAATCGTTAAAAATTAACGTTAGAAAATTAATGTATTAAACTGGAGAAATGTTAGAAGTAAAGATTGGAACGTGGAACAAAATGTTGTGTGAAGCCGCCAGCCCAGTGCTCACCTGTGATGTGAAATACAACTTAATGACAGTACTACCTGAGTATTTCGATTCTGGAGTCAATATACTGATGTGTTGTGTAGTAATTCTCTGGACCCGTGCTGCGAAAAACACACTTGTGTACTCACCTAGTTATGCTGGTGAGGGTTGAACCACACTGCAGTTGGCCTCTCATTTTCTAACTTCGTTTTCATATATGCTTCTCAATGTCAATTTCTAAATGTTCCTAGCAAATCTATACTTTTTTTATTATTTTAAGTTAGAGTAGGTTACATAAACTTATACAAATATATATTTAATCACAAGCCATTTAACAAAAAAGGTCATGAAACGTGCGGCAGCGCGGTGCCTGGGAAGGACCACACAACGTTAATATCTGTATTAGTATTACTGGTGGTGTGAGTATATAATGGCTCATGTGTGTTCAGCTGCTGTCTGTACTGTCCTCTCCCTGACCTCAAGTTGAACAGTGTTCCCGTGTGTGTGTCTGGGTGTAATAAGCGTGTGTTTATGTGTACCTGCGTTATTACACCTACCAGGATAATCTAAGGTTCTGGCCCACTTCTTAACCTCTAGCCCAGACAGGATATGTATAGTGAGACGTGTGTTTACTCACCTAATTGTGGTGGCAGGGGTCGAGTTATAGCTCCTGGCCCCCGTTTCTTCACTGGTTGCTACTAAAGTTCACTCTCTCCCTGCTCCATGAGCTTTATCATACCTCTTCTTAAAATTATGTATGGATCCTGCCTCCACTATATTAGTGCCAGAAAAAAAAGATTTCCCCCCATACCACCAATACGACGACATACTTTTTTACAAATATACAGGGTCTAAATCCAGCAACAAATAACAAAATACCTTTCATCCGTGGACTGCTTACAAGGTCAAGCGAAATGTTCACGGTTTTCACAGAGACCCATATGAAGGATCATTTTGACAATAAAATATGGATATCGGGTTATAACCTATACAGATGCGACAGAGTGAACAGGCAAAGGAAGGGGGGATTGGCCTGTATGTTACAGTCACTGATATGTTCGGAACTACTAAATGCCTCAAATGATGTAGTTGAAGTTTTGGCAGTAAAGATCGAGAACCAAAACCTAGTCAGTGTGGTTGTATACAACCCTCCAGATGCAACTTCCTAACAATTCCAGGAATGCTTTTGAAAATAGACCACTGTCTGGAAAATCTTCCAGCTCCTGCCCAAAACATCTTGCTCTTGGGGGATTTCAACCTAAGGCACCTAAAATGGAGGAATGTACCAAATAATGTTGTAGCAGAGACAACCCCCAGGAGGCAGCTCAGATGACAATTCGCATACACATGAACGTTTAAATCTCTGCACCAAATTCACCTTAAACCAGCAAATAATAGAGCCAACAAGATTGGAAAATGCTCTGGACCTCATCGTCACTAACAATGATGATCTGATGAAATATTACCATGTAAAAAACAATATACTCAGATCACAGCATAATAGAGGTT